ATAAACCGTGGATGTTTTTTTTTCTATTTTTAAAATCCTGATAAGCCTAGTCGCCGTAGGACACTTTGGCACATAAAAATAGGACAAATGTGTAAAGACAACAATGCTCTATCTTGTAACGAGCCACTCACATTTACCTGAATTCTATAGCTATAAGAATATTGATTAAAACTTGCTTCAGCTTCAGGGTTTTGGCTTCTCCGTCTTCCAACGGAGACGGGGGCACTTTGTCACGGTATAACCATGACCAGACCGGTTAAATATTTGTTTTGAACGTTGGATTCCCCTAACTCATTAAAATGAGAAATTAATCGTTGTCTTTCATTCAAAGAGATGACTTGAAAACAGTTTTAAAGAAGGCACTTACAGTTTTCTCTGACCTCGTGAGTGTTGATGCGTAATTTTTTCATTACATCACTCATTTTACCAGTTTTTCTACGCTTTTTCACATTTCCTGGCTGATTATTTCCATAAGATATAGCACTATAACTAAGATCACTTGACATTATGAATTTTCTCAAAAACAAACTAATGAATACTGCAAAATAGCAGCAGCTCGCTTAGCGATTACAGAATAGAACTGACGCTAAGATGCTATAGATGCAAACGACAATCTACGTTTAGGTAAAAGGTCGTCAGAATCTGATCGTTATCAGCCGTCAGCGCGAGGAACCTGATCGTTCTTCTCCGTTGGCTTATATCTTTCCCCTTTATTATCTTCTGTACGGTGAACTTTATTGTACAAATGAAACCATGCTTGGGTTCTTTCCAAGATAAGCTAAAATATGACGTCAATATCTAAATTCCGACCAAAAATGGAGTCTGATCGTTCTTATCCGTGGCCCTTCATATGTTTTTGGCTAACTTAAAAAAATACCAGTCCAAATTTCAATTCTTAGTTAGTTCTTTGTCTTCAATAAATAATCATTTTGACGTTGATATTTTTGTTGTTTAAAGTTTTGTTAACACATGTATTATGGTAAGCTGACCATTCTCCGTTTTGAAATAATTGAAATATTAAGAGATCCTTTTTCTCGCATGTTTATAGAGTCCAACTACCAATTCATTTTAATCCCTGTTTGTCAATGTTAAGACCAATCTCCTTTATCAATATTTTTGTCGAAGAGAGGAAAGCTGCCTTCTCTCTTTTATCGCCTTCATCTGAACAGCCAACCAATTTTGAAAGCTGTGGAAGCTAACAACTGGTCCCTTTCTCTGGGTTTAGCCTATGTTCTGTTCAGATGCCAGTGACTGTGTTATAATGTGAGTGTTGACTAAATTATTGACTATTTTTGTTTTTGACGGTTAGTAACTGAAGTAATTAAAGTATTTCATGGTATACATTTATTTTATTATATATTAAAAGTTATGTATTTTTCTTCTATTAAAAGAATGTTCGCTATTCTTCTTTCATGTATATATTTTAGGCAGAAATTTTAGGTTTTTATGAGATTATAGCTCATATTTTAGTTAATTTCATTTATTAACATTTTAGAGGCATTTTAAAAGATTATTGAATGAACTTGTTTTTTTTTATTTCAAGAGCTGTAATATGTGTATTTATAAGTTTACTAATGACAATACGGTCATAAAGCATGGAAACACGGTATTTGTAAGAACTCAAACCATAGTATAATTTGTGGGAACAACAAATGTACACGGTATAGAGAAAATAACCACTGATATTGGAAAATGTACAATAACCTCGGTATACAAGCCACCAAACCAGCCTTTTGTATTTTCACCCTTAACTAACTTCCAATAACAACCCAACCAGCTTGTACCGAGCGACTTTTACAGTCACAGTTTACTCTGAGACTATGCAGATTCGGACGCAAATGAAAACACAGTAGACGCATGGGCCGAATTGAGTAGCCTCACGTTAATCCATGATCCTAAATCCTAAGCTTCCACAAAGTTTTAAATATAGGATATAACCCGGATATCTATTTTTCAAGTAATAACTTCAAATACCGATGAACCAAAGTATATATATGGCCCCATACAAAAACTCAGCATAGACCAATTGGTATAAACATTATTTGCTAATTTTCAGAAGGAGATTTAACTTTAAAAAGGCAAACTACCAAAAGTATGCAGACATGCAAGATTGTGAGCTGCTACGCTGAACCAAAAGAAGAGAACTACGAAAAAATTGTAGAGTTTCTCAAAAATGTGTCTAGAAAAGCTATCCTCATATGATGTAGACAACAATATGTTCCCGGGATGTCCAGCGAGTCCAATGATATAATGAGAACATACGAAACCCTTTATTCTACTAACCCTTTTAGCCAAAAAACGGTTGACTGCGAAGCAATACTACTTTAACAGCTAAGTCATGCCAGAATGGAAAAGTGAATTGAGAGCCTGAAAAGAATAGGCATGACACATAGTAGCAAAATAGCATTAAAACCTTGTAACAAAACTTAGCGGTGATCCAAAAGAAAATAAACCATTTGGCAATGTTACATCAGACCAAGTCGCTGGTCAACTCGTTATGAATGAAAGAACTACGAACCGATATTAGGACTCCAACACTAGAAGAAGATTGGATTTAGAGACAAACCATCTAGGAACTTCTTTTACACTAAAAGAAATCTATGATTGTATGAATAAGTTGAAAAACGGGAAAGCTGCATTTGTGGATGATACATGCAGTGAACAAATAAAGCATCTAGACCAAAACAAATGCAGCATTTAGGCCAAGGAGCAAAAAACTGGATCTTACAACTTTATAACAAGTGCTGCAAAGCCTGCGAAATTTCAAAATTATGGAGGAAATCTACAGTAATAGCCTTGTTAAAACCAGGAAAGGACCCAGAAAATCCCAAGAGCTACAGAAATATTTTGATCTCGTTTTACTTTTTCAAACTATGAGAGAGACTCATACTCGCCAGAATAGAAAAAATGACAACAAGAACCTCATCCCACAACAGGGAGGATTCAGATCCGGCAAATCTTACACTCGCCAAATCCTCGCAATAGCAGAATGCATTGAAGAGTGCTTTGAAGAAAAACTTGTAACAAAGGCTGCTTTTGTAGATTAGACCTATGACAGAGTAAGGCAAAAAACATTGCTCCGAAAATTATACATCACTCTCAATGACCACCATCTGGGTAAGGCGTATATTTCTTAATGAAAAACTCACCACGTTATGCTTAAGGGTAAAGTAAGTAGGTGGGGAGTTAAAAAAAGGGTCTCTTACACAGAAGTGTTAAAGTATCAATGCTCTTCAATATATACACAAATGACCAACCTACGTCGACCGAAACCAAGCACTTGCTCTATGTGCAAGTAGTTTTGAAGCAGTGAAGAAGAAACTCGAAGCTGTCTTAAAACCAATGACAGCGTACTACCTGCAGAATTCCCTGAGACACAATCCCTCTAAAATCCAAGTCTGCGCTTTCCACCTTCGCACAGAGTAAGCCAAGCAAAAACTCCAAATTGCGTGGAATGGTAATACATTAGAATACACAAACCAACCTATATATCTTGAAGTAACTCTAGACCGGTCCCTCACCTACACACAACATTGCATAAAAACGAGAGGTAAAGTAACAACTAGGCAAGGCATATTCAGAAAACCAACGGGACGTAAATGGGGTATACGTCCTGGCGTTTTAAGAACATCGACACAGGCACTGTGTTTCTCAACTGCTGAATATGCGTGCCGTATTTGGGGCATATCTGCCCACATTAAACAGGTTGATACTGCGCTAAATGAGACATGCAGAGGCATTGTGTTTCTTTAAAATCAAACATTGCAAAATGGGGAGAAATAGACCAAGGTGATGTGAACTGTGACTGTGCAGAAACAAAGAATATGGAACATCTTCTTACATGCAGAAACTGTTCTCATTGATGTACCGTCGAAAATTTGTGAGAAATTAAAGCTCAATTAAGCCGGTTTAAAACTATAAGCCGACTATTATAAAAAATAATCAAATTATAGAGTTTCCTCTTCGCAAAAAGAAATGTGAAAAGGATTGGGATAAGTTCAGTTCGCAGAAATTCAGTTAAAAATTGAAATGTTAGACAATTCAGATAAACAATTAAATGGAAAGGTTAACTTTGGGGATAATTACAGAATGATTTAAATTTAAATAATTCTGGAAATAGTATAAGTCATTTAAACAATTTATATGTGGGGATTGCTCGACAGAATGTTAAATTTCCGACAATGAAAATTCCATCATTCTCAGGGTCGTATTTGGGTTGGTCTGAATTTGATGATGTATTTAAGGTGTTAGTACACACAAATCATGAGCCTACGGATGTTCAAAAGTTTTACTACTTGAAACTGGCGCTAAACAGGGATGCTGCGTAAGTTGCATGAAATTCACTTCTGTCTCAGTACGAAAATAATAACTATATAACGTGATAATCAATTTTAATTCGTTGTTAAATTATCCACAATTGGGAAAAGTTCCCAACCAATAGTATTTTTTCATCTTAGTTTTCAATTAAAAAAATAATAACCGACGTGCAAAAAATTCACCGTTTTAATTCTACATAGTGTCATTTACACAAGTTTGGCATTCCCTGTTATTTTTGGTTTCTCCAATATAAATATGTACATAATCTGAAAGATATTTTACATCAGTTGGGACGCTATAAAAAAATACTTTCTTGGAATACCCATTATTTAATTCCATGGGCATTTCCCACCGAATTCAGAAATATTTAACATAAATGTTCTACAAATTTGCAAGTAAGATAAACTTGATATAAACAAAGAACATAGTTAATTATATACTATACATTTTCCAGATACTTTTAGGACATGCCAATGTGTTTTACGTAAAATAGTTTGAACGATCAAATAATGACGCATCGGAATTATCAAGACGAAGAAAGAAAGTACATCGTAAATTAGTATTTAGTATGTCATTAAGTTATCATTAGACCTATCAATATTCTCATTAGTTACCTGTGACCAGTTGTAAAACCCGTTTATGGCTATCCTACTGACACGAACACAAGACACCACAACAGGCTTGTTTACCAGTCTTTCTGCAGCTATTTACAGCTGTGTCTCTAGTGGTTGTGCGTGTTTTAGTATTAAGTTTCGCTAAAATTATGATGATAAACTATTTGATGCTCGTGGTTGTATTATTTGTAGTGGCAAATGGACAACTAGATGAAGAATTTAATCAGATTATAGAGGAACTTGATGAAGAGACGACTGTACCACCCAAGACCACGACGACGCCTTTCTCTCTAGATCCGTACCAAAATAATCCCAAAGATCCTTATGCAGTGCCTGGTAATGCCTCCATTAGTTGTGATTATCAATGTGTGCCGTTTTACCAATGTAACAATGGAACATTAATTACCAATGGGGAAAATATTATTGATATCAGGTGAGCTATCATTCTAAGCATTAAAATAGTATATTATAGAATGTCTGTGACTATAAAAATTGGAAGCAGTTGATATAACTGGAATTAAACATTTTATGCGAATTTTATCCTATTCTGGACAAAAAAGATTAAAGGTTAAATTATTGTCTAATAAATATAACTTAATGTTCAGTATGAATTCAAAACTAATAGCAACTGATTAATAAAATTGTTATTCGTATTTATAAATCATCTGATGCATTGTCGCTGTGTAAATATTATTTATGGGGACTTAATTTTAACGGTTACATCTGTTTTATTTTAAAAAAATATTTATTTGAAGCAACTAGACATCTCGCTGAGTTTTAAGTAAAACTAAAATATTTGATTTGCAACGTGAATTTTTATTTCACAATCAGTCAATGATATTTTCATAAAAAAGACGTGACTTTCTCACCACTATTAATAAAAATAGTAGCAGAAGTTCTTCGAAAGAAATGTTCTTTGTTTTGGAAATAGATTTGAATTATTCCAGATCTAGTTAAACAGCAATATTCTTTGACTTGTTTCCAAATGTGTTTATTCCGATTATTTAGAAAGTACATTTGTTTCTGTAATTGTAAATGTTCGGGCTCGTTTTATTTTTTTTTAATTTGAGCTAAAATAACCTACTCGAATTCTACAAAATTATCCTTAAGCTATTTTTTGGATGCGACAATCTAAAACAAAAATATATCACACCTAAAAGTCAGCTCATACATCTTTTTTTTCCGCGTGGTTGATGCGTTATATGACGCATCAACCACGCAGGGTTATTAGCGTGTATGGATTGTGATTCAAAGTTAGAGATTAACAATAGAATATTAACTATCGCAATACATAAATATAAATAAACCTAGATCTCTACACAGTAAAATATTAGATTTTTGATATCAGCTGGCAGTCTTTGAGAAAGGCGTAAATATTTTTAGTATTACTGTCTTTTCCAAGAGCACTGTTTAATGTTGATGGAATGTTATACATTTTGCGTTGTACATCGTACTTGGGGCACTGCAATAAACAATGTTTTACCGTTAAGGCACTTTTACACATGTCACACACAGGTTTATCAGTACGTTTTAGTAGGTAGTCGTGTGTTAACCGAGTATGGTCAATCCGTAGGCGAGTGAAAGTTACTTGTTGTCTTCTATTGTTGAATTTTGGGAATTTTTTATGGTTCTTATCAACTTCATACAACTTGGTTGGAGAGTTCTTCCATGTATCTTGGCATATTGAATTAATTTTTTTTAAAGAATGCTTTCAGGTCGGTGTGAAAACATTTCGTATTCTCTTCTGCATTTGAGTTAGTAGGTGCATTCTTTGCTATTTTATCTACAACCTCGTTTCCTTCGACTCCAGTATGTGACGGTACCCATATAAAATTAACTTTAATGTTCATATTCTCTGGATGTTTTGTTCCTTTTTAATGAGAAGGAGTAGTGGATGGTTACAGTAGAGTTCGTTTAATGCCATTATTGAACTAACAGAATCTGTAATAATGATATTTCTTTTTTTATTTTTGTTGACTATCAAAACTAGTGCTTTTAGTATCGCATACAATTCAGCTGAGAACGTAGTTGTATATGAAGGTAATTTGTAAGCTTCTGTAAACTCTGAAGAGTAGATTGCTGCCCCAGTTTCGTCTTCGTTTTTTTAGGCATCAGTGTAAACTTTGAAACAGCTACCATATTTGCTTAATATTTTTAGAAATTCTTGATTAATTAGACTTGCTGGCGTTTCTGACTTGTTTAGGCGCAATAAGCTGGTGTCAGTAGAGGAAAGTGGAATTGTCCAAGGAGGAGGGGTTTGAATTAAGGAGATATCGTAGGTGTCTGGAAAATGGATACCCATTGTTAACAAGTAGGTATGTAGACGGAAATAGAACGGGTGATCAGTTCGATTTGAAGTTTATCTTGATTAGACGATACTGCTGCGGCATAAGAAAGACTTAGATATTGTCTTCTAAATGTGAGTGAAATCTCTCCAGTTTCCCAGTATAGAGTTTGTACTGGACTTGTGTAGTGTGCTCCTAAGAAAATTCGGAGGCCTGTATTTTGAATAACGTCTATTGTTTTTAAGTACGTTTTTTTGGAGGAGTTATAAACCATTGAGCCATAGTCCAGTTTGGAGCGTACTAGAGCCTTGTAGATATGTAGTAAGGTAGAAGAGTCGGCGCCCCATTTTTTGTTTGCGAGTGATCGTAACAAATTTATTCCAGGTTGACATGTCTCTTTTAAATATTCTAGATGTTTCTTCCAAGTTAGTTTTTGGTCAAAGATCATACCACGAAATCTAACTTCGTCTACATATTTAAGCTGTTCTCCATTTAAATATAAGTTCTTAGGTTGTATTTGGTAACTTTTCGTAAAACATACTGCTTTGGTTTTGAGACTATTGAACTAAAGACCACTTGTGAATGACCATTCTTTAATATGATTTACGGCTTTTTGGACATGGTTATGGATGGTTGTTAGGTTCTTTCCTCTACAAAGTATAACTAAATCATTTGCATATAGCCTAGCTTTTACAGGATGTTTAATTTTTGCGGTAATAGAATTCATTGCTATAAGAAACAGAGTAGTGGTAAGGTTCGAACCCTTCTTGGTTTTTTGTTGAGGAATATACGCCGTCTACTCTGACCTGAAATTGTCTATTTTTTAATAAGTTTGATATATATTTGAGTATATTACCTCTTATTTTCCATTCGCTAAGCGTTTTTAAAATTGAATATTTTCATACTGAATCGTAGGCTTTACTAATGTCGAAAAATATTCCAATACAGTGCTGTTTGATTTGTTGTAGAATCCGATTCTACATCAATAAGGTTGTCTACAGTAGAACGACGCTTTCTGAAGCCACTTTGTTATGTTATAATTAGTTTCTTTGATTCCAGATACCATATAAGTCTGTTACTTATTATTTTCTCTAGCATTTTGCACATACTACACGTAAGGGATATTGGCCTATATGTTTCGGGATCTGATTTTGATTTACTTTGTTTAGGAATAGGAATTATTATTAAATTTCTCCAGGATTCTGGAAATACATTTTTCGAGAAAATTAGGTTGAACATATTGAGTAAGTATTCTTTAGATGGGTAGGTGAGGTTTTTTAGAAAAATAGTGGGAATATTATCTGGCCGAGGGCACGAGTTCTTACAGTTTTTCAATACCGTTTCTAATTTATCCGTCGATATTGGAAAGTTTATTTCACTGTTATTTTGATCTTCATAGTTTATGGTAGATTTTTCTTCATTTATTTTGTTCTTTAAAAAATTTGGTGAATATTATGCATCGCTTGAGTTTTTTTCATAACCTAATGCCAGTATATTTGATATTTCCTTTTGAGATTTATATATTACATTATTTTGCTCTAACAGATTTATCGACTTGTGTGATTTTGTACCAGATATTCTTTTTACTTTTTTCCAAACAGTTGTCATTGGAGTAGAACTGTCAATTGTTGAAACGTATGTTATCCAAGATTCGCGCTTTGCTTTTTTGATAGTATCTCTGGCTATAGCTCGTAGTCGTTTGAACTCTAAAGAGTTTTGTTCATTTTTCTGTCGTTTAAATTTATTAAACGCTTTTATTGATTGTTGAATTGCTTGTTTGCATTCTTGGTTCCACCAAGGAACTGGATGGAATTTACTGGCAAAGTTAATTTTTCCAATATTTTTATCTGCTGAATCTATTATCAGTTTTGTAATAAAATCTACTTCTTCATTCACATTGCTGTTTTGGTTTATGGCATGCAAGTTGTGTTGGATGTGGTTTTAAAATTTCTTCCAATCAGCATTTTTCAAGTTCCATTTTACTTCAGGTATAGCTGTAGATGGTTCTTCGTTATGGATTATAATAGGGTAGTGATCACTATTGTATGGTTCCAGTAATAAAGAATATGAATTATTGATGGTTCGCATATAGACAAGTCGATAGCAGAACCTTCACCTGATTTCATGTCAAAACTGGTGTCTCGTCCGTCATTAAGTAGATTTAGGTTAAATTTTTCCAGAAGGGATTCTATTTTTCTACCGAGACTCGTTGTTTTTGTTGAACCCCATAAAGGGTTATGTGCGTTGAAGTCTCCAACAATTAATCGTGGAATAGGTATTTGATCTAAGAGGTCCGATATTTCGTTATGGTTCAGTTCTTGGTTGGGGGGAATGTATATGTTGCATAAAGAAAAGGTAGTTACGTCTTTGATTCTGACTGCAGTTGCCTCGAGGTTTGTTTTTAATGGTATTTCTATACTATCAATGTCGTTCTTTATGTATATCGCTACTCTTCCGCTGGCTATTTTAGCATGTTGTCGATTTTTAAAGAAACAATTAAAGTTTTTTAGTTTATGTACAGTGTTGCTTTTAAAATTAGTTTCTTGTAAACATAGAATCATTGGTCTGTATTGTGAGATTAATATTTGCGACATTTCTAAATGGGTGTAATACCCATTTAGGTTCCATTGAATTAAACTGCTGAATTATATTATGTTAGTATGTGTCTATAGAGGTATCGCTGTCTGCCTCGATATGGAAGTTTGGATCAATTTGTCGGAGAATTTTATTTCTAATTCGGGTGCATCTACTTTTAATTTTTCTCTCATTTAGTTTAGAGTAAATTTTTGTCAGTAGATCTGTGACTTCAGAAATTTTATTGGTATATATTTTTGCGATACTTAGTGGGTCCGAAGATCCTGTGCAGTTTTCGAAGAAATCTATTAGTTGTTCATAGTTTAAAAGGGATAATTGGAATTTTGGTCTCTAAATAATTCTTCTGTTGGTTTTAGCATTTCCTCTAGCGTCTTTTTTGGTTTCTTTTCTTGGTTCAATTTAGTCTTTTTCTCTTTGTTTTCTAGTAATTTAAAGATGTGTTTCGAGGAAATAGTTGGGGCCGGTGTAGAGCGCTCAGAAACTGTGCGTTTTTGTGGTACTGAATCTGTTTCTATTTGATTAGTTAGGAGTTTTGTATTTAGTGTTTCATGTT